GGGTGAAATTTCATATAATACAAAAAAGACTCCCCTCTGTCGTTTTAGCTCTCCAATAGACCTCCCGTTCTCCAAAATGGTGCCGTGCTAAGGAAAAACGCCGTATGAACCTTCAGGCGTTGCCAAAATTTCATTTCTAAAACACGAATTTCCTGGCAAACTCATAAGAAATTTTCTCCCAGTTTTTCAGATAATGTTGTTTGCAAGTTCCTGCAAATGTCAAGGAAAAATATTCACGACTTTCCTCAAAAACAAACATTTTATTGAAGGAAATTTGGCAACTCTCGAATGTTCATACGGCGTTCTTCCTTAGCACGGCAGTTTTAGGGGGCCTGCATTACAGACTGCACGTTTGCATGGGGCCAAAAATCGTAAATCCGGCCCTGAACACAACGACCAAATATTTTGAGAGTGCACAAAATTCAGGGGCGATCCCTCATCGAGTGCGGAACAACCCTTATGACTTGGCTGGTCGCATGTGCAGCAAATGGGCGGAGGCCGATTTTAAATATCGAGCATAAATCTCCCCCATATTAATATCCTCACATGCGCCCCCAAAGGACATAATTATTTATGGGGCGCAAGAGGCGCTCGCCCCGCAGAAACCGAGCTCTTCGCTGGAATGTTCATCACCGCCCTTTGTAACTACCCGCGGCTAAAAGCCCAGTCTCAGCTGTCGATTCGTGCTAGGAATATGCTATTTTATGGTCTAGCAACCATGGAAATCGACGAATTATTCCTCAAAATTCGGCAACTATGGCCCAATTTAATTACTCACGCCGACGCTAAGTCTTATCATTATCGGCACAGACCCTTCTCCTTTCACCTCCGTAGCCACCGTGCACCAGACCGAAAGTTCAAGATTAATAGTCAGGGATATGCACTAGCGGAATATTGCCCCCTCTCCCACTCCATTGAAAAAATCGCAATATCCTACAGCTTGATAAAACAAGATGACTTAACACCGAAACATTCATACAACAACTTCACAGTCATCCAAGATTTAGGTAATTTCATCCAAGAAGGTGAGTCTGCGGGTGACCCATCGGTTCAGTTTGAAGCCATTTGTTTTAAACGAATTGACTCGAGAGCTACACGGAAAAAAATGACTGTGCGCGGATAACCATCTTGGTTTTGTTAATTAAAAGTTGGTGCCGTATACATGAAAAAATTGATAGAATAGCCAACGGCATTGTATTGTCCACAACGTCTTTAGGGAAATCAATAATTTTCAATTAGTTGCTACTGGCTATTATAAATATGTTCACCGAGACAAAATTGATGGTAAACTGCTCCATCTAGTTGACTCATTGCACCAAAGAGTGCGCTTGCGCTTCATCTATCTTGTTTTTGGTTGATATTTCTCGGTTAAGTGGGCTCATTGAACTACAGATGCGTTAGTGCAAATTATAAACTTGTTGATTATGAAGGTCACCATCTCAGATAGTGAAAAAATAGTGTATTTGTTAAACTAAATAATTATTTGTAATCAATAATTGTTTTAAAAAATTTTAATTATCTTAATAACTTCAGTATTATGCTTTACAAATTTAAGCTATTAAAACAAACAAAAACAATTATAAAAATAAATATAATTAGGATTGCGGTTTTCAGATTGATTTGATTTGTTTTTAATAAATGTTGTGTTCCCGTATAGATAGATCTAATTAATAGTTTTGTTTGTTTAAATACTTTGTCAATTAAAGTATTTTGTTTTTACACTTTACCAGCATTGAGTCACCAAAGAAAGCAATCAGATATGGGCTGATTAGAGAAAGTATGTTGATAAATTTTCAAGAATTCATAATCAACCCACCTTGTGTGACTGATAAGCGTGTAATAATATGTTCGTGGAGCGTGCTCCTTTTCCCATCCCTGGCTCGGGTGACGGTAAAGTCGCCGCAAAACTATATGACTTCGCGCAATTAATTATTCTTGACTCTGCTCGGTTTTAATGATAATTAAAGGGCATTTATTACAACAATTCAGAAACTCGGACGATGTTAAATTTTTCACTGATTTAAAAAAAAACGGATTAAAACGAACTAAAATTGATGGCGCGGAGCGCCTTCAGGGGGTTGGACCGCGTAGCGGTTAGGGGGCATAGCCCCCTAGTATTTGACTGTTTGTCTAGGCATTTGACAAAATGCCTAATTTTACTATTTGCCTGCGACATATCGATTGCAGTGTTTGAAAATTTCTTTCCTCCCCCCCTTCCCTTGACACCAAGTTTTACAAAAACCCGACGAGCAGGAACCGAGATAGCGTTTTAGGCCAAGCCCGCCACCTTGGTTTTTCGAATTTTCGAAATTGGACTAAAAATTCGAATTTAATCGATGGAATGGGAGCCGATGTATCAATTTAGGCTACGTCCGCCTTCTTAAATTTTCAAAATCAGAAAATTCAACTTGAAACGCATTATACCCAAAATCTAAGCTTAGATTCGGCTTCCTCGTGAAAAATCGATGATATTTCATGTATCATACGTTACCATAGCATAAAGAAAAGAGGGTAATCGTAGGCGTAAAGATTCTGTCAAAGCCGGCCGGTATGCGGAAGTAGGCACAGAATTCAAACGTTTGAGCTGCGCCGCCAGGCGCCGGCGTCAAGCATTTGGTTCGTCCGTTTCCGAGAAAACAAACTTCTTCTTACTCATCAGCTGACCCACTCCGAATCACCCATGTTGCCACGTCGGACTGATATGTTAGAATCTACACGCCTACGTTAATCTCTTTCCTTCATGATATGGTGACTTATGATACATGAAATTGCATCGATTTTTCACGAGGAAGCCGAATCGGAGCTTAGATTTTGGATATTATGCGTTTTAAGTCAAATTTTCTTTCACCTATTTTAAATCACTCAGGAAAATTTGCGGAAACTCATTAAAATAACAGTGTGTTGTGTGTTCTTTTAAAAACATTGATCAAAAATAAAACATTGACGGTATTTGAATCCATTAATCTCCGAGATAACTTGAACACGGTTTTTCTACGACTTTTTACGAATGTTGTTTTCTTCCGCATTGGTTGTCGGCAGCGTTGCGGCCAAAGGCCCCTGGTATTAATAATAGTTTTCAAAATCAATTTTTTTCTACATTCAAAATTCCAAGGAAATGGCAGAAATTTATCAATTGTTACGAATGTCTTAACAATGTTTCTTGTCAATTGTATGCTGTTGTTAAGCTAAACATCCCAGGTTTACGAGTGGTCAATGAGTTTCATCCGAACAAAAATGTAGTATTTGAGAGAATTTTAAAACGTTCCGATGACTTCATTTCCGGATGCAAAAATACAATTCTCTAACGGTAGCGTTGAGTGGGCAGCGTTTGCTAATTTTTTAAATTCTTTCTTGAAATGAATTCCACTCCCATCATTCCAGATATTGTACAAAAAAAATACCAATGACAAGGATTTAACGGGTTTAAAGACTGTTTCCTGCCAAAATAACTCATCCATGGACGACGACTTGTGTGATTTCGACCATTTCTCTTCGGCGCTACAATCCAGCATCATCACCAATTTCGACGAGGCATGTCGCATTCCTGATGAACGATCGTGATTTTTCATTCCTTCCTCCCAAAAACCACAATCTTTTTGTATGAAAAGAACTCAGATAATAACCTAATCAAAAGATAAAGTTAACGTGTTAATCGAATCCCTCCATGAAAATCTCGCCCCTTTGATTTGCATTTACTTAGATTTGTTTTGTCATATTTTAACTGAACTTTTTTTTTTTTCATTGTAAATATGATTTTTTTAAAAACAAAATTGATTATCTATTAAAGCATAGCTACACAATGCCTTGACATTTTTCAATTTTGGTTTTCCGCTCTTGAATATCATAGCACCTCGCGAATGCGTGCAAAGGAATTCGGTTGGGTTTGGTTCGTGTAGGCAACTAAACTAACTGCCTGACGATGCGGAGAGTATCATCCAGATTTGAAGACGCTTCAAGCCGAGGTCGTGCTTTAGAAGTTCTTCGCCCATGATACCTTAATTACGTCTATGCGAATTATTTAAAAACACGCATGCTACTTACAAATTTCTGACGATTGCTAACCACTTGACACATACGGACGAGCCATTGTGCCCTCAAAATTCATTTAATCTATACAGTTTTTAAAAATATCCTGAGGGGAACATTTTTGCGCTCATAATGCAGAATTCCGTGCAGAAATGCTTTCACCTGGAAAATTTTTAGTCTAGAGCGTCGAACTTGTCAATCATTTTTGATCGTTGTGTTGTAGTTCGAAGTCTGTACGCTCCTTAAATAAGCCTACGCTTTGCAGTCAAGATTTAGGTGGTTTCATTCAAGAGGGCGAGTCTTCAAGTGAACCATCTGCTCCGTTTTACCCCATTCGTTTAAAACAAGAAACTCGAGAACCAGTATATAAGTGTACAAATTGCAAACTATTACAAATCAAATTAAATTTACCTCGTGTGCAGAAGTCTTGCTCATTACTTCATAGGTGATCGACATCAACAAGTATGGACCGAGTTTAACAGGAAATAACCAAGCCACATCAGCTATTGCCAAATTTAAATGAGCAATTTGATTTTTTCGAAAGAACGTTTGTGCGGATTCCTTTGAAAAGTTGAAAGAATTTGTCTCGTAGTGTGCAAAAAATTTACTGAAATTTGCACGAAAATCCGCACAACCGTTTTCGTGTAAAAAATTAACTTGCCCAATTAACTTTGGCAATTGCTGATGTGGCATGGTTCCTTTCTGTTCAACGCGGTCCAATTGACGCTCTTAAAAATTTAAATGCAACTACTAATCCATACTTCACTCTGTCTGCAACTTTTGCTGTTGACGTGATTTGACCAAGTCTCCTCTGCCCTACCGATAAGAACTCTCGATGAGGAATCAAACCTATTCTATGCAATTGGGTCCTCGAACTTTTACAGATTAGTTATTGGATTATGTGCACTTTTAAGCATTATCAAACCTCCCTCAGGCATCTATGAGGAAAGGGGCGAGGAAAAATAAGAGAGAGATTATTTTGCTCGCCAAGTGCACTTCACTCGTAATACCATTTTCAATGAATATAAAATATTAGAAGCTATTCATTTTTGATAGTTTGAAACTAAATAGTTTTTTTTTTCGTTCTCAACATTACAGTCATTTCTGATCGTATATAATAGTTATCATAGTGCACTGTTATACTGTAGCGTATTTTTTAAGTAGCCAATCCATCATGCGATACAACAAGGGACAAAAATGGTGTGCTGCTCTGGTCATTGGAATGGTTTCTATTATGAGCTTCTCTGCAGGATTCTTTTTACTTAAACCTAGTTCAACAGCAGAGCCCTCTCTGCAGTTCATTAGTATTGTAAGTAAACTTTGTTTTCCATGCATTTTTGTGGCTCCGATTTAACACTACGCGCTGTGAAAAATCGGAAATATTTGTTAAAAGTATTACAATTTGAGTAAGTCATGATTAAGAAAGAAGAGGAAAATTGTAAGAGGAAAATTGAGTGAAACTATGAAATAATCATCGAGTTATATTTAAAGAGGAATAAAATATTTTAGTTTCGCTACTTAGGCCTTGTCTCCATGGGACATTTCCTTTGATTTGTCCCAAGTTCGAATCGCAGGAATGAAACTTCTGGGATTCTGCCCCGTTAAACAAAACAGCAAGCCGAGCTTCGGTCACTTTTTCGATACATGTTCGATCCAAAATGGCGGTGTGGGATTCGTAGTAATTTGTATCTTCTTTGTTTACATCGGATGGCCGCGCCCCCGTGTATCGAAAACAATCGATTATGTATCGAAAAAGTGAGCCTGCGTCACACAGGAGTCACGGAATTCGGGACCTCGAAAATGCATAAAAGTGGCGCCAACACTCCCACTTATATTACGACTCTATTTACTCTATGTGATATCGTGCACGATTGGACCGCGTTAAGCAGAAAGGAACCAAGCTACATCAGCAATTGCCAAATTTAACTGGGCAATTTCATGTTTTACATGACAACGGTTGTGCGGATTTTTGTGCAAATTTCGGTAAATTTTTTGCATAGTATGAAGCATATTCTTTCACATTTTCAAAGGAATCCGCACAAACGTTCTCTCGTAAAAAATTAAATTGTCCTGTTAAAATTGGCAATGGCTTATGTCGATTGGCTCCTTTCTGCTAAACGCGGTTCATATTTCCCTGCGTTTTCTCTGACAGTTAGTGAAATACAGAATTCAAGCTAGGCAATCCTTTGTTTTTCTTAATCAAGGAGATTTTTCAAGGATTAAGAATTTAGTTGACAGTTTTTAAAATTAGATCTGCGTTTGAAAACCAGCAAAACTTAATATCAAAAAGGTACCAAGAAAATTAACGATGTCATTGCGCACTTTTCAAAACTCGCTTTTTAATATAGAGCCTCTAATCTCAAATTATTTTACCTCTAGATGCCTAAAACAGATTAAAAATGAAGCAACTATTGATTATTACAATTCTTACTTTTTACTGATTCAACGCTTAGATTTTTCGACATGGAGAAAGAGCCCCCGTTGTATGGTTACCCGAAGGGATGCACAGTGACCTCTCTCTCTGGCCAGAGGGACTGGGATCTCTTTTGCAGGTGAGACATCGAAAACAACAATTTTTATTTAATTTTTTTAAGGAATGTAACGTCCATACGCCCAAAGGTCCAGCTACACGATCAAATTGAGCCATCAAATTGGGCCTCCCATTGGTCGCATCCTCACCTCAGGTCTTTTTCCACCAATCAGAGCTTCAGTTTGATGGCTCAATGGGCCTGTTGCAGGCAAGAGATACAGCCGTGCAAATAGATTTTTCAGAGGTTAAATGACACGAAAATTACGACGGTCACATTAAAAAAGTCTGAAATACTCTCCTTACTGCGCAATTTGCGTTGTTAGGAACGCGCTTTTTCAAATTTCCCGCGTCTGGGGGCAGTTTTCTAACGGAAACAATTAACGGCAACTCGCGGCTATTTCCGGACAACTAAAACTGACAACATAACCTAAAAATCGGAGCTCCTGGTATCGTGAAATGAAATGTAGAAGGATTGCGTTGGATATTTAAAAGTTGATCGATTTGGTTACCGCATAAAGCGTATATGGATCACTATAAGAGATCACGTTGTGTTTGTAAAGAAACAGAAGGAAAAAATAACAACAACAACAACAACAACAACAACGACTCGGCATCTTCCGGAAATCACCGAGCCCGCCGTTTGCTCGTTTTCGGTGATTAGAAAACTGCCCCCAGACGCGGGAAATTTGAAAAAGCGCGTTCCTAACAACGCAAATTGCGCAGTAAGGAGTGTATTTCAGACTTTTTTAATGTGACCATTGTAATTTTCGTGTCATTTAACCACTAAAAAGTCTATCCGCGCGGCTGTATCTCTTGCATGCAACAGGCCCATTTGATCGTGTAACTGAACCTCTGGAATCGACAACTGAGATGTCAAAATCATGTCTTCACCCACGCCGTTCTCAGCGAATTCAGCCGATCATGCACCGATAGGTGGGTTTCGTGGACAAGATGTGGACCAAAAAGTAACGCCAATATCTCGTTGGAAACATCAATGGAACTATACAATTTTTGGGGAAACAGTAAGGGTACCTCATCAAAGAGGGTCTAGTGGACGTCCTCGGCTCCAAAAAGAGGATCCGGGGGGCCTCCCTGCACTGGAAAAAAACACATTGGATGTAGAGTCCAGATTCTTAAAAATATCGACAAGAAAAAATACTCTTGACTCAATCAGATTTAAGTTTAAATCAAGAACCAAGCTTCTTAATTTGAGCGGATTTCCTTTTGATTTAAGCTTAAATCTGATTGAATCAAGAGTCCTTTTTCTTGTCAATGTTTTCAAGAGTCTGTACTCTAGATCCAATGTGTTTTTTTCCAGTGTGGGATGATATTGAAACATTGAGTCGTATCAGGGGCAATTTTAAGCTGTTCTTACCAAGACATTGATCACACAATTACACAAATACTAGTTCCGCTCACCCATGGTTAGAAAAATGATTTTCCTCTTTTCGTCACGTCGGTCGTTACAAGCAGCGCCGTTATTGTCCTGACGTGTGTGCTCAGAATCGTTATTACAAATTCATTAAAAAAAAAAAAATCCTAATTAATGAAACTTGCTGTGTTAAATTATTCTAGACTTTTTAATTACATTATTTTACTTTCATTCTTATTATCAAATTTAGCTGCGTTCAGAAATTAGAAGCCAAATTTTTGACGGGGAAAGAAAATTCTGAAAATTATTGTTAGTGGCAGCGGAATAATCTCCACCCACATCAATGAAAATCAATTTCTGCTCACAATTGTGAATAATTTGATTAGGAGGAATCGTCTTCTGTTTCGGTGTAGATTGGCAAAGTGAATATGTTCAAATTGGGGCGTTTTTTGCGGCGGCGTTACGATGGGTTCCTTTCTGTGAACTACTCGCCGGCTGAACTTAAAGTCACATCGAGTGATGTTGATCGGTGTATAATGAGCGCGCAACTTGTACTGGCTGGGCTATATCCTCCGGAAGAAATCCAAAAATGGAACCCCGATCTCCTTTGGCAACCAGTTCCTGTTCATTCCTTACCTCGTGAATGTGATGACGTAAGTAGATGCATTTACATTGTAGCGTTACTGGGAATTGACATAATTGACACGAAAACTACTCCTCATTAAAGTGAGTATGGATTCCGGTATTCTGGACGTGATGAGCAGCCGAACGCTTTAAGGGTGAGCAATGAGCGTAGTCCCATGTCATGGACGCAGTGTTACATGAGCATTGTGAAAAAGATCGGTTCATCATTTTGGGGCGTGCTTTTTGCCTAAATTCTCGTAAAACTCTCTTCTAAACATCTCGAATCATCAGGGCTGTTCATGTTCAGTGCTCAACATTTTTAAGGTTCTGCGGAAATCAGTGTTTCATTAATCATTATTCCAAACGCTTAATCTTGCAGATCATTGCCGTAAGAAAACATTGCCCGTTATTGTCACAAGAGAGGAAGCAATGGATTGACAGAGCCTCTGAAGATGCACAGAAAAATGAGGAGTATCTTGCGTTCCTTTCACAAAAAACTGGCATCACATTAACCAATATCATTCAGTTAATGCGCTTGAGTGATTATATGAGCGGTGTGGTACGTAGAATGCTTTGAAAATTAATTTATTAGATTTGAAAAAAAATCACTGGATATGAGGGGTTTGGGGGACAAGGTGTTAAGTGGAGTTTTTGCTGTTTCATAAAAAAAAATGTTTAAAGTTTCAAAATTACGCAGAGCCTAATTGGGGCCGGGGGGGGGGGGTTCACTCGCTTTTGGGTGCTCAAAAATTTTATTTTATTTGTGAATTTTTCAAGGATTATATGTTAAGACTAGTTTTAGTTGATACCATTATTTGCCCTTTTTCAAAAATTACTTTTGATGAGTGGCCATTAATCCCTTCGTCCCATAGAGGGTAGGGGGCTAGGGCAACTTTCAAATTCCGAAGCATAACCTAACCTAATCTTACCGAAGTTTCCCAACTGCCCGTTAAAGCTGAGGGAGCTGAGAGAGAATTAAGTTTATTTTGACCCTTCCTCTTTGCTCAGATTTTTGTATTTGTTTGACATTTTTCTCGACTGAACAGCGAGGAAAGTAAGATTTTCTGCAACAATCTTCATTGGCAGCGCATTGTCACCTCTCACCATTCCATAAATAGTTCTAGCCTACATAAGAAATTATAATTTTTGAACGTTTCTCTGAAAGAATCCCGTTGAAGGAATTTTTTTTTTTTTTTTTTTGCTTCGACATAACTTTGTAATTTTTCATTCAATTAGAAGGCCCTCGGATTGCCGCAACCAGACTGGTATGATGAAAGAATATTCAAGTGGATTAGGACAGAGTACTTTTTTAGCTTTACAAAAACGGACAACCGAGTCAAACTTGAATCAGGTACTGTTTTTTTCAAAAACAATTTATGCCCCTTGACAATATTCACTCATGTCACGCAGAGACAATATGCTTTGAAGACTCCGTACTGCTATCTTCCCCGAGGCGTGAATGGTCGACTATCGATATTTCCTCCATTTGAAGCTGTGGTCCAGAATCGATTATTAAGGTGTTCGTTGCGAACAGCCTGTTTATCGATCCTATTCCAAAGGTTTAAATGGTACAATCGATGTTTCGCAAAGCACGCCACGCCACTGGTGATGCGACCGTTGACCAAAGATTTGAGCAACTGCTGAAGCAATCTTGACGTAATCAGCAGAAAATCGCCCAACAAAATTCGCAAACCGACATTCATTCGTCTAATTTACATCATTTGCCGTCGGAAAAACTCTAAAATTTAAAAAAAAATAATTATTCCGAATTGTTGGGCGTTTTTTGAAACAATAAATTCGAACCTAGTTCATTAGCGAAGAGGGCGAGGTGGATCATATTTTACCACTCATTTTCAATTCCCTCCCTATTTTTACCGCATGTAATTTTTGTTTAAAAAATTTAAATGCCAATTTCAAAAGCATCTTTTCATACACATATCGACGGTGCAAGTCGGCAATCACATAACTCGTTTGCGGTGTCTGAAAATCTCCGCAACTATGCTATTTTTTTAAAGGAGAACAAATGGACATGATTCCTTGAAGTTTTTGCAGAATTTTCCTCGCAGATAGAAGAAAAATCACGGCAGTTTTAAAGAATTACCGTTGAGTAGTTTTCCGTTTAAAAAATAAAGTATGACAGGAAGTCTGCGACGTCGCAAACCGAGTTATGTGATTGCCGACTTTCACCGTCGATATGTCCTCCCAGCTTTAAGGTGATTCGATGGACGCCATATTTTGTGTCAGAACGGCATGCGATATATCGCATCAATTGGTTCCGTTTTTTCAGCTACTTGTCATTTTTCTCCAATTTTGAGATCGCAATTCTGTTGTCAGGAGACTAAAGCACTCACTTACCAATTCTAACAAAGAAATTCAACGTAATAAAGGCGTGTTTTTTTTAGAGAGAAAATATCGCATTCGAGTGCAGTTTCGATATCAGTATCGAATGCGATGTTTTCTCTCTAAAAAAACCACGCCTTTATTAAGTTGAATTTCTTTGTTAGAATTGGTAAGTGAGTGCTTTAGTCTCCTAACAACAGAATTGCGATCTCAAGATTGGAGAAAAATGACGAGTAGCTGCAGAAAAAATGGAACCAATTGATGCGATATATCGCATGCCGTTCTGACACAAAATATGGCGTCCGTCGAATCACCTTAAGAGTTTAGTTTCTTCTCTCATTTTACAACAAACATTTTTTTTTCTCTTTTTATTCGTTTGAATTATTAAAATTGTAAACCTTCCCTTTTGAGAATATTCGCCTTTAATGACCCTCCGCATTCAAACTCAATACTTTTTTTTTTAAACCAATTTCAAATGGCCTATCGGTTAATCCCACCCTCATCACCCCAGCCCTAGGTGACCATTGCTGGAGACCATCCGACTCAGGTCACCTGGCCGGGAATCGAACCCGGGACCTCTTGCTCATAGGGCCAGCGCTACAACCACTACACCACAGGAGGCCGACTGAATACTAATACAGACTTTTTTCAAAAATCAGTGCGCTGTTCGTCCTTTAAATGTTCCGCACATAAAATACGTCTAATAATTCAATTTTCTTGTTTCCTATTAATTATTACAGGAGTTTTGATAAACGAAATCGTGACAAATATGAAGAGAAAAATTGATTCAGCGACGGATTTTTCAAGACGGTTACAATTATACGCGGCGCACGATCTTAATTTGATACACCTCTGGCGAGGATTAAATGTGAGCCAAGAAATCACAGATTTGCCTTCACATGGAGCGGCACTGCTAATTGAGCTGCACAAAATCAATGGCAAATATCTAGTAAAGGTAGGTAGTTGATAAATTTGTAAATCCTATTTTCAAGAATTATGTACTTCTCGCGTACATCGGGATGGCTTCTGCATACAGGGCCGGATTAAGGGGGTGGCCACATGGGCCGCGGCCCATGGCGGCAAATCTAGGGGGCAGCAAATTTTGCAATTTTTTTAAATGTAGGTATAAAAAAAATCGGATTTAGAAAAAAAAATTACAAACGAGAAAAGGCTACAAAATCTCTCATTTCCTGAGAGTATAGTAATTTCTAATTTTGTCGTCTTTCAGTGATACAAGAGACAGCACCTTTAATTAGTCGAGTTAAGGGAGAAACCAAACGCATAATTTGGCCTGGAACGGCGCGACTTAGGGAGAAATGATGACGAGGACTTGAGATGAAAAGGAGAAGCCCTCGGCGCGGCAATCAGCATGTAACACATATCAGCGCCTACAAGACTGCACGAATACTTCACGCATCGCATCAAACACGGTGCGGTTATTGTGGTCAGCGTGAAACGGATAACTCCTACAAGAATGCATGAATACTTCACGCATTGCGCCAATTAAGTGCGGTCAGCGTGAAACGTATAGCGCCTACAAGACTGCGTGAATACTTCACGCATTGCGCTAAACACGGTGCGGTCGGCGCGGCGCGGCGGAAGTTAAAATCATTAAACAAAATTTTGTGTTTGCTCTTTCATAATTTTTTCGTTTATTTCTTATGAATGGAAGGTCTTGTCCATTAGAGATAGGTTTCCGAAACTTGACTTTCGCGCAAAGTTCCGTGACCTTTTGCTAGTAGTGCTGACAGGGCTTTCTCAAAAAAATGTGTTCAACACGAGTAAACGCGTCTTATGCACCCCTCCCCCGCTAGCACGTTCACTTGATGGTTTTGATGTTTCAACACGAATAAGAAGGGAGCGGCAAAATACAGGCGGCCCATGGGCGGCAAGTAGGAAAATCCGGCCCTGTCTGCATAGCTATGTGATTACTTTAGTGCTCAAATATTTGTGTATTGCATATTTTTACTCATTAAATTTATGAATTAATTATGAACAAAACATTTGAATAACTTAGTTCATCGTTTTCCTCACAAAAGAACATAAATATATTTCAATGTTGCCAAATTATCTCGCACAAATTGCTTTTTTATCAGAGAGTCATGGGAACTTCTGGCTGATGATTACCCTGATATTCTTTTGATCTCGAACAAAAATTAGAAAGATTCTCAATAAAAATTGCGCAGGTTTTTTCATGTGAAATATTGGATTGTTTCATTCAGTTTTGCAACCTTGGAATGGGGTTACGTTCCTTCGTCTGGAGGACGCCGAGTTTCCTGATATCTATACCCGCGGTAAACTTGCTCACACCAATAATCAATAAATTAGTTGCATAATTAAGTTTACGTGCCGGGATGTTTCACAATTCCCTCACAGTTTATTTTTGTATGGATGAAAAACTGAGCGTTTCCTGAGGAAAGACACTTTTCTTTTTAAAACCGACTGAGATCAAGAAAATTGAACACCAAATTCAAGGTGTTTTATTCGAAAAAAAATTAGCAGCCGTGAAAATGTTAAAACTTTACACTGGTTTCGTACCTTAAAGCAAATAGTCGATTCTCGCGCGGTAGCGTTGAGTGAGTAGCGTGTGCTAATTTCTTTTGTTTCTTTCTTGGATTGAACAAATTTTACTCTCATCAATTACAGATATTGTATAAAAACAACGCCGATGACGAGGATTTAACGGTTTTAAAGACTTTTGCCTGCCAAAATAATTCCGCAATGGACAATGAACTGTGTGATTTCGACCATTTCTCTTCGGCGTTACAATCCAACATCATCACCAATTTCGACGAGGCATGTCGTATTCCTGATGAGTTATCGTGATGTTTATATCCTCATCTCAAAAGATCTCAATCATTTCAGATGGAAAGAAAACGAGCCATAGCATAATAATTGGAGAACAAGTTTTAACATGTTTAACGAATTCCTCTATGAAATTCTCACCCCCTTCGACTTATTTTCTGTTAATTTAATTTGTTGATGTAAATATAGCTAAAGAACTTTTTTTTAGATGCTAAGTTTATAAATCGATTAATTATTAATACTTTAATGCCTTGAAACTTCTCGATTTCCTTTTTCCTCTTGAATACCAAGTGCCAGCTAGCACATTCTTGAGTGTAGTGAAATCAGTGACCCTCGAAGTTTTTGCTCGGATAGGCAACTAAATTAACTGCCTGACAAAGCGGATAGTATCACCCAGTTTTGAAGGCGCTCAAAACCGGGCTCGCGCTTCAGAAGTTCTTCGCCGACGGAACCTTTAGTAAGCCGATGGAAATTATTGCATTTATTCAACACGCATGCTGCTCACAGACTGCTAACGATTGTTAACTGCCTGACATATCGATGGTGAAACTCCAAAAATGTGTTACTTGGTTTGCGGCGTTCAAGATTTCATGTCATACTACATTTTCTACACGGAAAACGACTAGACGTCATTCCTTGAAAACTTCGGCAGGCAGTCAGCAATCGCCGGCAACTTGCAAACTCCGTACTTGTCAATTCGTCAAATTGTAAGTAATTACGATAACATCGATATAGTAAAGGTTTCTTAAGCGGAGGATTTCAAGGCACTACCTCAGCTTGGAACGCCTTCAAATCCAGCGATACTCTCCGCTTTGCCAAGGAGTTAGTTTAGTTGCTTAACAGAACCTAACACAGATTATTGATGACATTTCACGAACTCGCGAGTGTGCTAGCTGGCACCACGTATCCAAGAAGAAGGGGCTAACGTATGTTTGAATTCAAAGCATAATAATCCCTACTTCCAATCTCGTTTTTTCACTTTAAAACGATTTAATTTGTTGATTAAACACGAATAGATTGCAATTTGCCGGCGATTGCTAATTGCCTGCAACATATATACCTGAGAATGTTTGTGAAGAAATTAATGAGAAAAAAATTACTGACTGAACAATCACAATTACTGCCTGTGCAAATGTTAATTATACAATACTAAAGCACTTTATCGATGGTGGAAGTGCAGAAGTGCGAATCTCGGAAAACACGATTTTCCACGAGAGTAAAAAAACTGTCTGAATTCCTCTTTTTTGTCGGTAGAAGGGTAATAATTCTTGAGGATAGCAGGAATAAGATGTTTTTTCAAACTTTATCAGCAGTTTCAATAACTTCCCGAACTGTTAGAAAATACGGCAGAAATGCCGAGATTCGCGTTTTTGGCACAAAGAATCGACACCTCATCAGAAGATACGCATTTTTGCAATTAGTGTTTTAAACTTGTTGGTGGATTTGGATCATTTAAAGACTAAAAAAGGGTTTCACACTTAAAATTCCTTATTAGATAAAATTTAGTTGGTCATCGATGCTCCATCCATCCATGCTCTACGCTTTCCTAATGGACCAGTGGACAAAGTACCATTTCTTCAATTTTGATTGTTCACAGTTAATCAAAGAAAGCTCATTTTATCCGTGCGAAACTTTTTAAATTCACAACCGCTTTAGAGTAAGTTGCGATGGATCTTGTAAACGGCGACTCTTTCAGTTTCGCTTCAGAATACGATAACCGAACCAAGGGACTTAAAATACACAATCTTATCCAGCTGCCTGCGCTCTGTTCTTTGAAATAAGACGTAGAGACCAAAAACAATCTCATTATTTTTTCAAAATAATATTCCTCGGCATTTTTCGAATATGCGGCTCGATTTTAAACCCAAAATTATAAACTTTTTGGTCAACATCATTGTACAAGGCCACTCACGAAGGATTCATAAGAGCGCCTTCAAATCAATCCGTAAACTTAATGCAAAATTCTGATACCACTATTCGTGCGTCACGGCAGTCATTTTGCTTCATTTGAAGGCGAATCATTGACTTCAGACAACGGGGTACAAATTACAGCAATGTCATTCGGTATTCTTAGGGAGAAAAAACTCCGGAGGTGACCCACCTGCATCTCAACCCTCAAGGTGCCCCNGTGCCCCCCCCCCCTGACATCCAAAAGGCCCTACCCCCCGGAGGCCGCCCACCTGGCCCCTAAGGAACGAATGCCGGGGGCCACCCACCTGGCCCCTAAGGTTCCAAAGCCGAGGAGCCGCCCACCTGGCCCTAAGGAGCCAAAGCCAGGGGCCGCCCACCTGGCAACTAAGGTGCCAAAGCCGGGGGCCGCCCCCCTGGCCCCTAAGAAGCCGAAGCCGGGGGCTGGTCACCTGGCACCTGGAAATCTGACCGACCGGAAACCACAATCAACTGGATTCGAATTCCACCCGAAATTTCATTTGACTTGGTACACGCAGCTTACATTCCCTTCAAAAAATGTTAACTCTTCCTCAAACACTGTGAGATAATCGCACAAGTACAGTCTTTAGTATCTAAATGATAGTAAATAATAGATAGGAACCATAAATGTGATCATTGACTCCGATGATATACTTCATCACAAGTACAAACGCATATTTTATAGTCAAGTACATCAGACCTACCAGCTCAAGTTTACAAAGAGATAATCGTTTGATACTGTGCTTAAAAATAAACGTCGTAAGAGCATTTGCGAATTGCCGAGTTTCCTCTGACAAAAAATTGATGTCCGTGAAAAGTTATGAATTCGTCCTCCTAATATTCAGATAATTGACATCAAGTTGAAAAAAAAAAAACACTTCGTGAAAAATTCAAATCGTTTCTGTAAAAGTTTTATTTTATCGGAGGAAAGTTGGCAACGCTTCATTGTTAATGTGGCATTTTACACAGACAGTGGTGTGGTACCCCAATATTTCATTTTACACAAGATAAATTTAAGAATGTATCAGCTTTCTTTTGTATTCCACTGTGGACATTCAGAGCTGCAGAACAGTTGGCCTGAATGTACTACCTCCAGTGACGAAAATAGTTTTCATTCTTCTCCTTCACTTTGCCTTTATTTTTCAGTGTAATTGCCTAAGTGTATTTAAATTTATAAGAATTTGTTTTATTGCATAAAATTCTTACAAGGTAAAGGAAAAATAAATATTCCTCCAAAATGCATTACATGAAAACTAAGAAAAAGTGTTCTGCTCTTGTGGTTGGTTTCCTGGCTATTTTTAGTGTATGTGTTGGATTTGTTCTCTTTAAACGTAGCCATAAAGCTGAACCAAGTCTTCGCTTCGTGAGCATCGTAAGTATACATCCCGCTCACTCGCAGGGAAATCAAATTGATTAAAAGCTAGAGCGACTTATATCCATCGTGCGTGATAAAAAAATTGATTTCACGCGTTATCATACACATCGGTGGCAAAAGTGCGAAACCACGTACCTCCGTTTGCGATGTTGCAGATGTCCTGTCGTGCTTTAATTTTTCGACGGAAAGCTACTCAACATAATTCCTTGAAAACTTCCTTGGTTTTTCTTTTCTGTTTGCATAATATTCTGTGTAAACCTCAAGCCATTAATTTGGCTTGTCCCTCTCCGAAAAAATAAAATATGAGCAGAAATTTCGAAACACCGCAGCGGAGGTGCGTGGCTCCAAACTAAAACCGTTAATATCAAAACTAACAACATTTTCGTTCTTTTGCCACAGTTTATCCTACAGCTCTACTAAATCTTATCTTGCCCAGGAGTTAACTTCCAGACTTTTTGTTGAGTGATTCGTTCACCTCGGGGAATTTTGAAGAGAAATAATTCGTGTAGGGCTTTAATCCAAACCTTGTCTAAATACCAATGAGAGTCCGCTTTTGGTCAACGAAGTAGCGTCTGATCATTGAAAAAAGGTACCTTCAAAAAATGGAAGCAGCATCTTTTAATAATTTTTTAATAACTTTTAATCAATGATACTATCGTAGATTTTTCGACATGGTGAAAGAGCTCCTGATAAACCGCTACCGCCAGGATTGCATGAAGACGCCATATTTTGGCCAGAGGGACTAGGAGCTCTATTACAGGTGAGACAACACAACATTTACTCGAGCAGATTGCTCACTATACTTTAAGCTAGGTTTAATTTTTAATACTCAGTTAAGTCGTCCTTTGGCGATGTCAAACATTTCAAAGTAACATTCATTTTTTTCATGAACTAATCTTTACAACAATACTTCCACGCATGATGAAAATAATGTCAGCGGCTACTATATTCTTAAGGTTTATCTACAGCTGCGTGAAGTAAGAAATTTCTCCGCGCAGGGGGCGCCACCGCTGTGTTTTAGGGTCCGTGCAGCTCCACGTGAGTCCTTGAGCTTTTATAAGACTTTGAAAAGTTGAAGGAATTTCTATTTAAATCGAAGATAAATAACTTCTAGCCATAACATTCTTCTTCCTATTGACCCTAAAAACAACGTGAAAAGTCATTTCTGAAGCTCTGCAATTTGATCCCAGAAAAAAGTAGGGTTAAGCATGATGACCTTGATGCAACCAATCGCGCTTGATCGCTCTCAGCAGTTGGCAGATATCTCTCTCCCACCGTGAGCTGTCTCTCTCGCACTTACAGATATCCCGTAAGAGAAACTGGGATCAATTTACAGCTTTTTTTATTATATTTTCAAAGCTCGCGTTTGTTTCTAAGGATTCCAGACGTATGCTGCTAGAACTTATGAGTCTTAGAATTTAAGATACCTATTGTGATATTTAAATAATCACTGATTTCGGAGTCGGATTTTAGCAGCGCGACGTGGTGGATTTTTTCGGAACTACAGCTGAAGATTAACCTTAATAATTGTGAACCATCCTCAAGAAAGGTAGTAGCTGGTCGTCCTTATCTGGCGGCTGATAAACATAACCTTGTGTATGAATAACATTCATATAATCCAAGTACTCATAACTAGATATCATATATGATCATGATAAATAGTAACCACCGACATTTTTCAGTGGGGTTGCCTGCGAAATAATCATTCAAAATTTTGGAAACAGTTGCGAAAAACTACAGAAAAACGCGGAATATCCCTACTCAAGTCACAAGACTCTTGATCCTATCGTCTATTTCATAAAAAAAAAAAAAAAAAAAAAAAAAAAAAAAAAAAAAAAAAAATGTCAGACTTCAATAAATTGAGGGGCTTGAAGGACAAGGCGCCTAAGTGCAGTTTTCCCTATTTTGAGAAGTACATGTTTGACTTTTCATAATCCCATGAATTCCTATGGTGGAAAGAAAGCTCAAACTCAATTTTTGATATTGAAAATTTCAATTGGGGAGCGAATTTTTCACAGAATATACACTAAGACTAGTTATACTGCAAATCATTAATACCTCATTTTTTTCCAAAACTGCAGTTATGCGCCTTGTCCTCCAAGCCCTTCAATTGATCAAAGGCCATTAATTACACAAATAGTACTGGAGAAGAGAAAGGGGAGGCCATGATTTTCACGTGCATGCAGGAAGTTATTTTTCCATTTTACGCAGAGAAAAAAACTTCGTGCGTGGGCCGTGGGACCCGAAGTTGAGGTCATATGGATCTCTGAGGGTTTCGGATCAAGTATCTAAGAACTTGAGGTCCAGCTGCCGAAGTTCGGGTCAGACATCGAGGCACTTCGGTATGTACTGGAGTACTTCAGATGTATGACCCGAACTTCGGCAGCTGGACCTCAAGTTTTTAGATACGTGATCCGAAAACTTCAGAGATCCATATGACCTCAAATTCGGGTCCTACGCACGAAGTTTTTTTCTCCGTGTAGAGGATGTGCAATAAAATACTATAGATAGGTACTCATCCGCAGGGAGAGTTCAGAGCTCCATTAACCCTTCGATGCCCAAGTCGGGTCAAATTGATCCAAGGCTTGCTAAAAAACGTTCGATCCAGCTTTAGATATAGGTTTACAAATACATCCGAAAACAAATGATGAGACGTCAAATTGCAACAAAGAAAATAAAATCTAGTGTCAACATAGCCGAAGATGGGAGCGACGTAATCGGGCCTCGTCTTTTAACTTTTCTCCTGAATCCAAGCAAGACCTCATTGGTAGCATAGAGCGGAGTATCAAGAGTTCACGCCTCGCGCCATCGCGCCTTCAATTTTATAGATGCAACACGTGCATCCATCAAGCACGAATAGTTGTATCTCTACGCCGTTCCTAGTTCCGCCCGGCGCGGCGCTCGTGTCTCTCAGGTTCCAGATTTGAGCTAAATTAGTAGACAGAAGGCGAGTGCCTACCATTCCATGGGAATTCTGAGAGGTATTAAGGGATTCAACTTCAGCCAAAAATTGCCTTGTTATTTGTCATTTTTATGTTTATGTTATAGAGAGGAAAAGAGAATATGTTCGAACTGGGACGAAGTTTGCGATATCGATACGATGGATTCCTCTCCTCAAAATACATACCGGCTGAAATTGAGGTTATCTCCAGTGATGTTGATCGGTGCATAATGAGCGCTCAACTCTTGCCGGCTGGGCTGTATCCACCGGAGGGAATTCAAAAATGGAACCCTGATCTACCCTGGCAACCAGTTCCTGTCCATTCTTTACCTCCTGAATGTGACAAAGTGAGTATAACTGACTACTCGAGTACCTCTTTGCTCAAAAAAAAGCTTGGTAGTCGGTATCTAGCTGCACGTATCTACTGGAAGTCTGGTAACTAATACCAGAAATCTGAGACCGGCTCCTAGATTTCCATCCGGAGTATATACGGCATAGTATATGACGATTCAATCGGCTACAACGGAAGAGAGGGGTGATATCGCGAAAGTATCTCTGATTCAACTTTATTCACAGGACATACTAAATTGCATACGAAAAGAAAAAAACTTGAAGTTTTGCTTAATTTTTAAGAACTACTATCTATTAGAACTTGATAAGAACGTTTTAAAAGTATGACTCATTTACACCTTCGTCCCAGTTATCTTGCCCAGTTGAAAATTCACTTCCCCTCATCTTTTAAACCAATTTTTTTGTCTTTTACAGCTGATAAAAGTCACCAGCCATTGCCCGTTACTAATGGAAGAGAGACGAAAGAGAGAGCAGAGATGTATAGAGACCGTCGAGGAAAATGAGGAATTTCTCTCCTATCTATCGCAAAAAACTAGTGTTGTGATTACAAGTAACCAAATTTCAAACTTATTTGAACATGTTTCGGGTATGGTATGTACATCTTAATATCAATCGTGAATCTGCAAAAGTAATTAACATGTAAAACACACTTTCTGAGGAGGGCGAAAGAACAGACCTCACTCATCTTTATTGTCGGTAGAAAGGAAATAACTCTCAGAGATTTTTAGGATAGGATTTCTAGAATAAGATCACTTTATTCCATGAAATCAAGGCCGGAGAAAGAATCTGGCGGAACGTATAGTGATTGAATCCACTCGTAAAAGCATCTATTAATTCCAAAAAATGGCTACAAACTACTCAACGTCAGTTTTCAAAAACTCTTGTGATTTCTTTTCTGAGTGCGAGACAAATTCTGAGAAATCTTCAAGAAGTGCGATGTTGATTAAGACTACATCTTGCAATTTGGAACTATAAATTCTAGCCCGGTTTAAAAACGACGTATGCGCCATTAGTTTCCCTGTGCACTTACGTGTTTTTTTACATGAGCCAGATTTTATAGTTCTGAATTGCAAAATGCAGACCATTTGTCCTCCCTTAAAAAAGTGAAACAGGAGCGGAGATTTTTAAACACCCCAAACGAGATACGTAGTTTGGGATTTTAACCGTCAATTAACCGTATGAGCCTTTGAACTTGAAAGGTCACGCTTTGGGCACTAAAATACAACGGCACTTTAACTTTAACGCTTTCCCATTTTTTTAACAATACCAAGATTTTCCTCCACCAAAGTGGGCCCGAAATCATGATCCAGATAAATGGAAGTGGTACAGAGAAGTAGACTACATCAGATCTTCGTCAACTACCCTAATTAAGCTACAATCAGGTACGCGCGTGAGGACAATCATACAGTAAACAATCATAGAGTAAAATTATTGTATAAAATGGTACGGTAAGATGCAACTCATCACTTTTACAGTATAAAGTATAAGGAGTATTGTAATTAATCAAAAATCGTTACACAAAATACTTTTTTTCATGAAAAGTATCCTCCCGACATTAATTTGATTTCATTGAGTTTTAAAGAAGAATTTATAGTTAATACTTGACACGATAAAACAACGATTTCGGGCTACATACAACGAGTTTTACTTGAATTTTTGTTTTTTGTTTTTTTTTTTTTTAAATTTGATGTTCGCGCGGTTCTTAATTTTCAGACTCACTAGCATATCACATGTCTTTAAAATAAATTCACAAGGATTAGTTTTTTGCTGGGTTGATTCACTCATATTCCGATATATTTTTGCAGGAAATTTGATCAAAGATGTTTTATCGAAAATGAAACAAAAAACTGATTCAGAGGCGAAATTTTCGAGACGGCTAAATGTGTATTCGGGACATGATTTTACCTTAATTAGCTTTTGGCAGAGCGCGAATATCAGTCAGGAAATCACCGATCAGCCTTTGAACGGAGCAGCATTGTTGATTGAACTGCACGAAATCAACGACAAATATCGAGTGAAGGTATAAAGTTTTCGAATGTTTTTTGTTTGAAAGCCTAGGAAGCCTAGGTCTCATAGAATCAGCCATTTCGAGTAGCGCGTTAAGCATAGAGAAAATAACGGAGGGGATCGCCGTTTGAGGATTTGTTCACCCCGTGACGTAGGTCGATACAATACTAAGTCGATATTCGAGCAAAATTCGAAGAATGATAAACGGGCGGACCTTTTCGTGTGTTTTTTGTTTCTTCTTTTTTGCTTATTTCAACTCAAAAATATAATTTCAAGCACTTCATGTAGAATGACTTTTTACCATAACGACACCATTTACAAGAAAATCGAAGATACCTAAAAACCGTCAGTACCAACCTACGTCATCGACCACATAATAAAGATGTCCGAAATGCGACCACGTCCTTCTTTCTCTATGCGCGTGAAGCTATGACGCCGAAAAGACTCATCTGTACATCAAGACATGCCTTCGCCATAATATGCTTTTTGAGGTAGGAAGCTCAAAAACTGAGTTAATTTCTTACTGATTGTATGTTAAAAAGTGGACGTCAGGCTTTCGATTGCGCGTGCCGTGACTCTCAATTCATTGTCTAAAAAAATCAGATCTTACTTTTCCTTTACTTTTACGTCTACTTACTCTAGTTTTGCCTTAGCTGAAATGTCCACCAGACCCATTTCGAACTATATACCTAATAACCAAAGTTTTCCACCGTCGGGAAGCATATCTCTGGGACTCTGCATTAAACCAATCATGAGTCGAGAAACTTAGCAGTTAGGAGGCAGATCCCTCACTACTGTAAACAGATTACTACCATATGCAGATACAGTCATTTTGATGGAAGAAGAGTTTCCAATGAGAGTTCGCAATTATTTTCAACAAAACGTTAATAGTCGTAATAGTTAGTATCAGAGTTTGCTCGGGACAGTAAGCAAAACAGTAAACAGTAGTATGGCACTTGGTGAAAATCATTCGCTGATTTTTCAGAAATCCCTCTTGAGATAAACTTTGATTTTATCAATTGCAGATACTATACAGAAAACATCCAAAGGACGAGGATTTGTTGGTTTTAAAGACTGCAGCTTGCCAAAATGATTCTCCTGAAGATGACATGTGTGACTTCGACACTTTCTCGTCTGCGCTGCAGTCCAGCATCTTCGCTGATTTTAACGCAGCTTGTCAGATCCCTAATGAGCAGTAATGAGCTCTGATTTCGTATTTCTGATCTCGAATGTATATAAGAAGTTTCGAATCAATCTCTTGTTATCTATCGAATAAATAATTTCTCTTGATAAAAAAAAAAAAAATTCGAATCGATCAATCGGAGCTCCTCTCAGCTGGGTTCAGCAGAAGGAGACTGAATGACTTCATAGAGAAAAAAATGGAGTAGGTAAACGATAATTTTAAGTTTTTCTATGAACATACACTTTCCTGCTATGTATCAATTTTTGCAAAAAAATATCTAATTTATTGTAAAATAGAAAATGGATATAAAATGTAATTTACTTATGACAATCTTTTAAAACCTCCCATTAATTCAATGAAATAGTTTTGAATGAGATCTTTGCGAGGTATTAGAAACAATTCTGTCCTGCACGAAATATACGAAATATCAACTACAAATTATGTGGATTTTTCCAAATCTAAGCTAAATCCATACAATCATAAAGTTTATCAAACTATTAGACGTTTCTCTTTTGAATTTTGCATTTTGTATGGTGGCAAAGCATTGTGGTAGGTACCTTGCAAGATCTATTCCCAAAGTAAAACTGTTGAACTACACTCGAGATTCGCAACAATCGTACTTTTTGTGAACCTTTATTTTTTAAAAGCTTCTGTAAATCTTAGTTTATCTCGGCTGAAATTAAGTGGAGCCTCCTTAAAGGAAGGAGGTGAAAATTTATAAGTGCGACCCTAAACGTACAAAGCGAAATTTTGCAATAAGGAGCCAGTATGCCTAACTCCTCCATTAAAGCATCTGTCTGCATATGGAAACCAGCGGCACATACCTTGTTTCTAGATTCAGCTCGAAATAGTAGTCCCATATTGCAAAATGAAGTTCATCTAGATGACACTTCTTATGCCTTAAAGTACTTCTTATTTTAATTTACTCAGCGCAAAGTTGGTTCCGCTTTAGGACTACGCTTGAGGAGAAAGAATCCAGCACAGACACTAAAAATGGCCGGAAAACCAATCGCGAAGGCAGAACACTTTTTCTTAATTTTCGTGCCGTACATCATGGAGAATTATTTATTATTCGTATGCCTAATTAACCAAATAAGTACTTCACAAAACGAAACAAGTTCTTATAAAAGTAAAAACCTAGAATTGCCTTGAAAAATAAGAGTAACTTAACAATCGATTATTCAGGTGTTCGTTGCAAATACCTTGTCCATCGATCCATTTCCATAGGTTTAAACGGCAAATCAATCGATTAATCGAATGTTTAAATCATGCCTTTACGAGCTTTGAACTTCAAATGTATTGAAGTTTTCATTGGTTCGATTGAAATTGAAGCAACTAACGACGTCTCCATGACATGTGATTTCGAACGCGATAAGCATCATTTCGAGCAGTAATAAGTCTTTACGAACGTCGCTTCTCTAAGAATTATTCTGAAGGCTGGCAGTGGTGACGTGACCGATGGTTCAGTCCTCATTCAATGAAATATCAAATTCTGAACTTTTGTATTGAATTTTCCAAAATATGGGCCCTTTGTGGTCCATTTTCCTATTCTGCCTATTTGCTGCTCTCGGCGTAGAGGTAGGTAGGTAACTGCCAATTAAGCTACATTTTTCAGGGATAAATGACTTTACAATGTAATTAACTGTTTCTTGTTTCTCTCCGTAAGATCAAGCTGACTCTATCAAATTTAATATCATTTCATTTGAAACTATCCTCGAAATCGATTCTTAAAAAATCTGATATCGTGTTGCGATAAGTTAGGTCATTGTGAACACTGCACTGTTGTCACTATTTAAAAACAATTTTATCATTTTGTGAGAATATTTTGTGGCTGTTGACTCCTTTGATGGTGGAACTAGACCTTTTAATGTCTGCTGACCAATCAATTACAAAAAGTTAATGGGAAGTTCTGATGTTAAAAATCGACCTAAAAGTCCATCAAGAAAAAAGCGCAAGAACATTTACGTACAAATAAGTACGGATCTGGGTGAGGAACTTATGTCAGTGCGCGATGAAATAAGTATTTTCAGAGAGTTCATACTAATTAGGAAACAATTGAATCAAAGACAAATCATTCCTTTTTTTCTCAAAAATGGGGTAAAATTTTCCAGACAGTGGCTAACAACGGTAAAATTATCATACAATCCAGGAAAATTTACCCAAAAGCTAATGCGTTACAACAATACACAGGTTAAAAATGTATTATGGTTGAGTATTTTTCTATCCTCTCCATTTTAGTCAGTGTTCTGATAAAAAATCAAGGAATTTGAATGACTCGATTGCTCTGGTAACTTTGTCTTCAGCTAGCAGAAGGGCGGGCGAAGATTTCGGACGTGGAATTTCTTGATATGGATCGCGATTTGAACTCGATGAGCAATTACGAGGGGCGTTCAATAAGTAAGTATCCCCCCTCTCTAAAATCCATTAAAATGGACCAATTTTAAAAAAACTTGGGCTCAAAATCTTCCTTAGGATATTTTGAGTTCAACGAAACAAACCGCAACAAAATCGGACCATGTGCGGCCGAACGCGAGCCGTTTGAACGCGCCGAGGTGCTCGACGCTCCCGCCAAATCCGCGAGGATTTGAAGTCCGCTACAGGAGAAGAGCTTCTCTGCCAAAGCCTTAGTCGTTCATCACTGACGAAAAATCAAAGAAATTTTTGTAGAATAAGGGGCTTACTTCACTTCTCCACAAAACCAGCTCGATCCAAGCAAGTCTGATACTGAGACTAAGACTAAGAGAACAGCTTTTGGATGCCTCGTGCGTGGAAGTCTTTCAGCTGACCGCGGATGAAAGAGTGGACGGCTTGTTTGACCTCTTCCACTGATTCAAAATTAACTCCTCCAATTTCAGATTTCAGGAACGGGAATAAATGGTGGTCTGGTTTGCTATTTATTATCGTATCTGAAATCTGAACTCGGAGGAGTTAATTTTGAATCAGTGGAAGAGGTCAAACAAGCCGTCCACTCTTTCATCCGCGGTCAGCTGAAAGACTTCCACGCACGAGGCATCCAAAAGCTGTTCTCTTAGTCTTAGTCTCAGTATCAGACTTGCTTGGATCGAGCTGGTTATGTGGAGAAGTGAGGTAAGCCCCGAATTCTACAAAAATTTCTTTGATTTTTCGTCAGTGATGAACGACTAAGGCTTTGACAGAGAAGCTCTTCTCCTGTAGCGGACTTCAAATCCTCGCGGATTTGGCGGGAGCGTCGAGCACCTCGGCGCGTTCAAACGGCTCGCGTTCGGCCGCACATGGTCCGATTTTGTTGCGGTTTGTTTCGTTGAACTCAAAATATCCTAAGGAAGATTTTGAGCCCAAGTTTTTTTAAAATTGGTCCATTTTAATGGATTTTAGAGAGGGGGGATACTTACTTATTGAACGCCCCTCGTATGAGATAATAACCTACGGTGACACATTGTATTTACGGATGGCAAAGGCTCAAGGTGCCACAGAGGTGGTTGCCTATTTCACTGAAAATCTAAAGGAACGAAAGGTTTGACAGTCATCTACATTGATTAATTATTAGGAAGAATTTCAATTTATCACCAGCCCGTGTTGAACGGAGCTCCGACATGGGTCAGGAATTAAACATCAAACCATCGATTCTTTTTGATAATAACACTGTTTCTTTGTAAAGTTGATCCAAAAGCTGGACATTTATAGTACAAATAATAATAGTAGGTAATAAAATAAAAATAAAAGGATGAAAAAAACAACTTTTAGAATTGAGTGCTATTATACAGGGACCACAATGTTTGCATCATTCTTATGACATGTAGTTTAGGTACCATTGCATCTATCATACATTTTTGTGATAAATTTTGAAAAAGCACAATCTTTTTCGCACTTAAAATGTTTTCAAATTCCCTCTTTTCTTTCGAGGGCAATTAAGTCAATAATGAGAGAGGCGTCTATCCTTTTTTATTCTTAATATGATACTCAATATACTTACCGTAAATCTATTCTCTTGCTCTATAGATGCCCATCTCAATGGAAGACATAAATGCACTTTTAGATGAGATGACCAAGAAATTCATAGATCCAGCGTTAAAAACACGAGATCGAATGGAAGTTGTCAATACCGTGTGGAATAAACGCGCCAACACCACCAATAACTGGGCAAAATAAGACGAGTGATCATCGTTAGACCCCCTTCTCATTATTTATACATTTCGACAAACGCTAAAGTAAAGACATTGTAAAAAATAAAATTTTACCAATCTTCTCTGTCATATTTTTACTTTTGCAAGCATTCAGAGCGAATATTCCTGATAATCCTGCACGTGGTGAGAGGATCTGATCACCTACATCTATAGCTGCACCCCCATACAATAGTTTTTCGAAGTATTAAACTTGAAGATTTGAAAATGTGAGAAAATTTGTTTAAACGCAAATTTTCTACATCAATGGGTCATATTCAATTCATCAAATAGGCGAGATCGTATCAATATCGATTGGTTCAACATATAAACATAGCCTCAAAAGTCAATTGAATAATCTGAGGGAACGGGTTTCTCGTGAAATATTTTTGATTCTTATGAATATAAAATGGCAATGAAAAGTGAGATTGTGAAAAGGATTTTCTCATTATACTTCCGGTAATTTATCGTTTTTTAATTTAAAATGTTTAAATTGATACTAAGTTTTTTACTGACGCCGTGTATAAAAATATCGTATACTCATATGTTATCCTATCTTCGTAAACATCGCAGGCAATTTAGCAATCGTCGAAGAATTGCAATCTATTCGTGTTGAGTAAAACAATTTCAATTCAAGGGTAAAGAAAAAAAATGAGTACCAGCTAGCATACTCCCGAGTGTACTCGCTGCAATCAGTGACCCTTCCTGGATTCGGTTCGGATAGGCAACTAAACTAACTGCCTGACAAAGTGGAAAGTATCATCCAGGTTTGAAGGCGCTCCAAGCCGAGATTGCAGCTATAGAAGTTTCTTCGCCAATGAAACTATGTCTGTGTGTTTTATTGTTTAACACGCATGCTGTTCAAAAATAGCCGACGATTCCTAACTGACTTCAAAGAATATCTGCCTGTGACAAATGCGGAACAAAAATTCCAATCTCAAAATTAATTAAATCCACACTGTTTGAAACATTTCTTGAGGAAAAATGTATTGCGATGATACAGGAAAATCCATTTAAAAAATACATGCTCATGGTACAGTTTTACTCTAACGAGTCAAGCTTGTCAATTTTCGGTGCGGAACATAGTTACCTACTCTTTGAAGTTTGCCTTTTGAAAACGATTGGCGGAGTTCAATCTAATACGAGTCGAATATGCACGTGAACACAGCATGAACAGACTGGTAAGTGCCATGTACTCCAAAAATTAGTGGGTATCCAATATGCTCTCTTTAAAAAAACGGTTCATCCACTTCACAACTATAATTGCTCAGAATTTAAGAGATAAATCGCCCAAATTTGCTGAGAGTCTTTACTCTCGATGATAAGCGAAAAAGTTAAGTAGGAACCTTGAACTTGAACATTAGCCTAAGAAATGTTATTTATCATTAGGACAATACAGTAGTTGAGTACATCCGACCCACCATAAGTTTGAAACGAGATAATCGTAAGCTGCTGTGCTTTGGAAAAATTTTGTATTAGCATTCCGAAATTGCCAAATTCCACCAGACAAAAAATGTATTACCTATGAAGGAAAAGTATGAATCTTTCTCCTTGTAATTTACGGATATCTAACATTATATTGAACGAATACTGGTTGAAAAATTAAAAGGGAAAAATTCACAATGTTTCCATAGAAAAATCGTATTTTATCAAAGAAAAGTGGCAAATTTCATCGTTTATATGACGTGCTTACTTGACATGGCAATACTGGTACTCTCAAATTTCATGTTACATGAGATACAGACCTATCCTCGAGAACCGCTCTACGTTTTTCCTCTGTAAACATTTGAAGTCTTACAAACGATTAGCACAATTCTCTTTGATACGATTACCATGCGCACGTTAGTACAGCATGACTTAACTGGTTAATGCTACGTAATCCAAAATATCAATGGGTATCCATCACGCTGTCTAGTCATCTTCATCATCATCTTTCACTTTCCAACTATTGCTCAAACTTTATAAGCTAATCCCACAAATTTGTTTGGAGTCTTTAATTTTAATGATAAGCGAAATTAAGTAGGAACCATCAAGTCGAGAATCGAATTGCACAACATACTTCATCACAAGTACTTACACACCCATTCAGTAGTTGAGTACATCAAATCTCCTCAAGTTTAAAAGGCATCATCGTACGTTGCCGTACTGAGGAAAAACGTCGCGGGAACATTCAAAAATTACCAAATTTCTTCTGTGACAATATTTCTTTTTGAAGGAAGTAATGAATATTTTACTCGCAATTCCAGATATTTTACACTGAAATGAAAACAATATTCAATGCAAAATTAAAAGAGAAAAATTCACAATGTTTCTCAAAAATCGTATCTTATCAGAAAAAAAATTGGCAACGTTTCATTGGTCTTACGGCGTTCTTACGTAGCACAGCAGTATGGTACCATCGATACACTCATATTCCATCTCACAAAAGATAATAATTCATTAATTAACTCTCTTAGTTTTCCTCCGTGGGTTAGATCTGCGGAAAAGTTTGCCTAAGTGATCCATTTTCAGCGACGAAGAAACATTTAATCCCGCTTCTTTAATTTACTCTCATTTTTCAAAGCAACTCAATGTTTTTACTATTATGAGAACTTGTTTCATTGCGTGAAGTACTTATTTGGTTCATTAGGCATAAGAATAATAAATAATCCTCCAGGATGTACGGCATGAAAATTAAGAAAAAATGTTCTGCCCTCGCGATTGGTTTTCTGGCCATTTTTGGTGTTTGTGCTGGATTCTTTCTCCTCAAGCGTAGTCCTAAAGCGGAACCAACTTTGCGCTTCGTGAGCGTCGTAAGTATACATTTCGTTTGCAACCAGGAACATCAAATTGATTGAAAACTAGAGAGAGTTACAAGCACACTAGGGACGTAAATGTAGGGCTCGCAATTCGAGGGATCCTCGGCCATAGGAGGCCCAGTCCAGTAGCTAGCAGGAATTTATTTTTAATTTATTCAATTTTTTTAAAACAAAAAAATCAATTTCTCAATCGAACCTTGAGAGTGGGAGAGCGAGGGAGGCCCAGAAATATAGTCTGCAAGCGGGCCTGCGCGTGGTAAGTTATACGCCATTGATGCATACTTTGGGCGTAAAAAAATTGTTTTGACTTCGCATCAAGAATGAGCATCTCCCATAATTTCTATTTTTTGTCATAATTCGAGCCAGAAATGAACTGTCCGCCGGATTCCATAATTTTTGCGGATATCGGGAGAGGATAGTTTCTAAATGAGTATTGTTTTTCAAAATGTTTAAAAAAAAAATATCGTGCGATGCAATAATTGTGCATTTTACCATTTAAAAGAATTAACTATTGTTTTTTGGCATACATAGTACGTTTTACTGATCAACCAGGTCCACTATAAATTTTAAATCGAACCTTGATTAAAATTATGGACGATGGGGTGGAAAAATAAAGAAAATATCTAAAATATACATGCGTACATATTATGGCGTGTACTCGCACGATTTTGAATTTATTTTTGATCATCGAAGCAACATCTGATTTTGAAGAGGAGGTATCCTGAAAATACTAAAGCAGCATTTATGCCCGTACTAATTATTGAATTTGTAATCAACGATATTATCGCAGATTTTTCGACATGGAGAAAGAGCTCCAGATACACCGCTACCACCAGAGTTCGATGAAGATGTCTCATTTTGGCCAGAGGGATTTGGAGCTCTTTTACAGGTGAGACATCATAATATTTACATACAGTGGTGACACACGCAGTATCTATGTTCCTCTAATATGTTCTGATTCTGATGATAGTATCTCATCTGACAATTCCAGCCCGATCGTGCCCATCTCTAGATTATATTTCCCTGATTGAGGGTACGGCCAGAGTTTTTAAACTTACTGTCATCTAGTAAAATACAGTAACTGACTTTTCCATAATTGTACAAGGGAAGTTTAGCTGGCTTCTCATTTTTCTTTTTTTCATCTATTAATTTTATATATTTAAGTGCTGTTTTATGTACAGCACTTAAATATTACTACAGTGGATATCGGATATAACGACCTTGAAGGGACCAGCCATATTCGGTCGTTATAGCCGATAGTCGTTATAACCGATAGTGGAATTTTTACGCACGTACCTTATGTTAAAGAGCTGAGAACAAGGCTGTGCTGTAGGTGGGATTCCAGGGCCCGGTGAATTTTGCTGCTGATTCATTATATCTTCAGTAACACCTTTGTTTATTAGCTTTATCTAATTTTATTTGAATTGAATATTTATTTAATTCATTTATTTTTTTATTCTAGGACTAATTTTAATTAAAACACTTTGTTTGAATTTGTAAAAACAAGGTATTTTATAATATTGAGATTACATGCACTACACACTACATTATGTTTGCACTACATATCGACGGTGAAACTACCAAACCACGTATCTCGTTTGCGGTGTTTAAAAATCTACGCTCACATTTTATTTTTTTGAAGTAGACCAAATCAATATCATTCCTTGGAATTTTCAAGGAATTTTTTCCGCACAAAGAGGAAAAATCACAGAAATTTTCAAGACTGGATGTTAAGTAGGTAGTTCTTCATTTAAAAAATAAAGTATGACAGGAAGTCTGCGACGTCGCAAACCGAGATACGTGGTTTGGTAGTTTCACCGTCGATATGCGCAATACCGAAGAAGTATAAAACTTCTAATTTTAATAATAGTCCGTGATTTTTTTTTTGCTTCACAATTGTGTTCGCGTACCCTTTTTGTAACGCTCTATGGGTTCGAGCGTTAAGTGTGATAAAGTGGAATCGTTCCATTCTGGGTTCAAAATTAGGAATTTTTGAACAGTTGTGATGGCTTCTAGGGCGTCTGGAAACGAGATCCTCTCCTCTTTGGCCTCTGTTGCTGTCGCTCAGGTCGTTATAACCGATGACCATTTCTGTTGGGACGCGGAAACTCCGTCGCTATGACCGATATGTCGTTATATGCGATGTCGTTATAACCGATACATAAACACATTGAATGAATGGGATTTCAGCCGGGACCGACCAGTTTACGTCGTTATGCCCGATATGTCGTTATAACCGATGTCGTTATATCCGATATCCATTGTAACTATATTACTTTATGTATATATTATTCTACCTCTCCTTCCCTATTGCTAACTTTGTAAACTACTTTCAAAGAATAAATAAAAAAAAAATCTTCTGATAAACCCTTGCATGCCAATTTTTCCAATTTTCCGAACATTCTGCCATTAAATTTCTTAGCACGGCAGCGTAGAGCGAAGTATTGAGAGTTCACGCCTCGCGCCATCGCGCCTTCAATTTTGCAGATGCGACACATGCATCCATCAAGCACGAATAGTTGTATCTCTGCGCCGTTCCTAGTTCCGTCCGGCCGGCGCCCATGTCTCTCGAGTTCCAGATTTGTCCCAGATAGTGGACATAAGGCGAGTGCCTATGTGAATATTGAGAGGCAGTGACAGATTCAACTTCAGCTACAATTTGCATTTTTATTCGTCATTTTTATGTTTATGTTATAGAGGGGAAAAGAGAATATGTTCGAACTGGGACGAAGTTTCCGATATCGATACAATGGATTCCTCTCCTCAAAATACATACCGGCTGAAATTGAGGTGATCTCCAGTGATGTTGATCGGTGTATAATGAGCGCTCAACTCTTGCTGGCTGGGCTGTATCCACCGGAGGGAATTCAAAAATGGAATCCTGATCTACCATGGCAACCAGTTCCCGTCCATACTTTACCTCCTGAGTGTGATCAGGTGAGTACTACTAACTACTCAAACACCTCCCTGCACACAAAAAAGCATGTTGCTGGCTACTAGACTGTTCGGCTACAAGTATCCCTGGGAAATCTAGTAACCCATACCATGCGTCTGATATCGATTCCTAAATTTCCTTTTGGAGCCTGTACGGTATAGTGTAAGACGCATCAATCAGTGGCGATTCTTGAAAGTTGGAAGCACTGTTTTTCCTCCATTTAAATGCATGTAAAACAATCGATCCTTGTTGAGGTAGCGTGCCTCACTTAAAATCGACATTTTTAATGGATTTAGATGAAAGAAAAACAGTTTTGCCAACTTTCTAGAATTGCCACTGGCATAAATCAGCTGCGAAGAAATATGTACATCCCGACCTTGTCCATTCACGATTCCCTGACTTCACGAGAGTAATTTGGGTTTAATTGGTTTCACAGTGTTTGGTAGAGTACAGAATCTCTCAACAAACTGTAAAAGGATAACAACTTGAAGTTTTGTACAATATCCAAGAACTATATTTATTATTTCTAAAACTTAATTAGAGCGCTTTTCCTACGCGATCAAAAAATCTAATTTATTTACCCCCTTCTTCCCCGGTTCTCCTGGTCCATTTTAAAATTCATTTCAACCATTGGCGGACCCAACAGTTTAACAACACCGGATTCCCTCCGTTTAAACCTATAGAAATGTATTGATTATTGGAGGGGCCAGATGCTCCGACAAGAATCGATTATTTAACATAAGTTTAAATGAAGGAATCCGGTGTTGCCAAATTGTTGGATCCGCCCTTAACTTCAACTCATCTTCTTAACTGATTTTTTTTTTTTTTTTTTTTTTTTTTTTTTTCAGTTGGTAAAAGTTACCAGTCATTGCCCGTTACTAGCGGAAGAGAGGAAAAAGAGAAATCATAGACAAACTGACGCCATTGCAGGGAATAAGGAATTCATTGCTTACTTAACGCAAAAAACTGGTGTTAAAATTACAAGCGACCTGGTGTGGAAGTTAAATGAGCATGTTTCGAGTATGGTATGTCTCTGCCATCTAAATGCCGTTCAAATGTTTCTGCTCATTAATTTTTAATGTACGTAGCGAGACGTCTCTTTAAAAGTATTTTATGATGATATGTCTTTCCGCCAAAAACTTATATTCATAAGTACGCATAACACGTAAGTACAGGTGCACATCTAAGATATGGCACGGATGCTATTTATAAAGGGGAAAAAATACTCTTATAATCAAAGTAGTCTACGGAAAAAAGATTTCTCTCACGTAATTTCGTAAAAATATTACAAAATCTGTCATAGATGCCACGACGTCACAACATCACAAACGTCTTATTTGGTTGCAATTCTAACAGCCGTGGGCTTTCTTGCCTCTTGCCCAATCGATTGTAGTGAAATTTGGTATTAGAGAGAAGGTTTTTTAACGGAAAATTCGAAGTTTTAGTCAAAATTCAACAATCGTAATCGGGAACTGTAGCCTGAAATGCTATCTTGATGCCCCCAAAATTATCAACTGTGTACTAATATAATTAGATATGACCACTGTAGAGAGTTGTTAATGTGCTGTTTGAGAAAGAATCCTTCACTAGAAAAAAAACACATTGGATCTAGTCCAGACTCTTGAAAACATTGACAAGAAAAAGGACTCTTGATTCAATCAGATTTAAGCTTAAATCAAAAGGAAATATGCTCAAATTAAGAGGCTTGGTTCTTGATTTAAGCTTAAATCTGATTGAATCAAGAGTATTTTTTCTTGTCGATGTTTTTAAGAGTCTGGACTCTAGATCCAATGTGTTTTTTTCCAGTGTTCCCACTGTACTTTTTGAACGTAATACATCCTTTCCCTTTTCATCTTATTTTTTTCTTGGTCAGGTATTTCTTTCTCGAATCTCCTCTTTCTTTTTAGAAAGTCCAAAGAAATGCTTTATAAAAATTGGTGAACATTCATCACTTTAGCCTCTGATTTCAGGCCTCAAAGTGCAACAGAAGCTTAACTTTAACACTTCCTCATTTTCTACAGCAATTCCAAGATCTCCCGCCACCAAAATGGGCCCAAAATCATGATCCGCATAAATGGAAATGGTTCAGAGAATTATTATTTCTCAAATCTCAGACGGCTACCATAATTAAACTCGAGGCAGGTATGGAAGCAGGGAACATTGTATGGTAACATTGTAATATTAATGTGAGATTTTTATATAAAATGGCACAGTAAGATGTGACTAATCAATTGTACAATAGAGGGTAATAATTCTATAGATCGGAAAATGTTAAAACATTAATTCCCTCCATGGTGATCACCTTACAGATGGGGCATCGGAGTTTAGATTGCACCGAGCTTTGAAAAAGGGATTTGCACACCTGTTAAAAATTCTAATTTTCGGTCTCGTAAAATTTAACCTTTCGTCAGTGTTTGTCAGACTCACTGACAAATTGTTGAAAGGAATCTCACCAAAATCAGTCACATTATGCTTGTTCCGCTCAAATTTTAATTTATTCTTGCAAGGAATTTAATAAAATGTATTCTTGCAGGGAATTTAATAAAAGATGTTTTATCAAAAATGAAGCAAAAAACAGATTTAGGAGCAAATCTTTCAAGCCGGCTAAAATTGTACGCTGGGCATGATCGTACTTTGTTAAGCTTTTGGCGAAGTACGAATATCAGCCAGGAAATCACCGATCAACCTTGGAACGGGGCAGCACTATTGATTGAATTGCACGAAATCAATAACAAATATCGAGTAAAGGTAACGTGTCATTTTACTAAGTTTTCCGAGTTTTTTTTTTTTTTTTTTTTTTTTTTTTTTTTTTTTTAGAATAGCGGTGTTGAGGTCAACGTAGTCATTCGACGCAGTATTGCGTAGTGCTATGATGCCGAGAGGTCTATTCTATATCAAAACATGTCTTTGTCATGGTATACTTTTTGAAGTGAGAATAAGCTCCAAACATGCGCTACTTTTCCTACTGATTGTGAGGCAAAGACTAAATTTCAGGCCTTCAAATGGGATTATCGTAATTTTTGAGTTATTTCCTGAGAGATTTAAATCTAACTTTTCTTCTAGCTGAAATTTTTAGCAGACCAATTTTCGAAATGAATCGGTTTTTGTCTGTCCAAAAACTCATGAGCCCCGCGGCTTTCGTTGATCACACATGACGCTAGGGCTCATGATTTTTAGGACATATGTCTGTCTAACAGGAATAACCGATTAATTTATAGCCCAGAGGACATATTACTGAAATTGATAGACAAAGAAGACAGATGGGATATGAAGGGATCCTAGGCGGCAGCGGGTGAGTGCAATGGACAAATGTGGTATGTAATAGACTAACTAACGGCAACCCACGAGAGACCTTATAGTTAGTCCATCATTTTCTCCCTTAGTCTAGTCAATAGTAACCACCCATTTCAACCAATAGGATCGCTCCATACTCCCTATGTCTCCTTTGTCTATCGCTTTGTCTATTAATTTCAATAATCAGCCTGTAAGTCTTTCATTGTCGCAAAGCGACTCTCGAGGAGTGCAGAAAGTCAATCACTAAGCCGGCCCGCTAAGCAGTCAGGAGGCAGGCCCCCTGCTACTGCATACAGATTAATATAGTTTACAGATATATATGTATTCATGTGAGCAAAACACAAAGTCTGGTGAGAGTTTACAGTCAACTTTCAGTGGAAGTTGTTATGTCAGAGCCTGTTCATAGCAGTAGGTTGGTAACACCTGGTAAGGATTTTGTGCTGAATTTTCAAGATTCACTCTTAAGATAACCTATGATTTCATAAATTATTGCAGATACTGTACAAAAAACATCCGAAAAACGAGGAATTATCGGTTTTAAAGACTGTCGCTTGCCAAAATAACGATTCTTCTGAAGATGATGACATGTGTGATGTCGACACTTTCTCTTCTGCGTTGCAGTCCAGCATCTTCGCCGATTTTGACGCAGCATGTCTGATTCCTAATGAGTAGCAATGAGCTCCAATTTTGTGTTTCTGAACTCGCATGTAGCTGAGAAATTTCGGACCGATGAATCGAAGCTCCTTTCAGCTGGGTTCCGCAAAAGGAAACTAAGTGATTTCATGAAAAAAACACGCTTAAAAAATGGAGTTGGGAAATGATAATTTTAAGTTTTTCTATGAACATATTCTTTCCTGTTGTGTATCAATGTTCGCAAAAAAATGTGATCTATCATAAAATAAAAAAGTAAATATAAATTAAATATAAATGACGCTTTATATAAGTGACACTTTTTAAATACCTCTCATAAAAACCAACGGAGTAGTTGAACCGCGTTAAGTGGAAAGGAACCAAGCCACATCAGCTACCTACTGCCAAATTTAATCGGGCAATTTAATTTTTACATGAAAACGGTTGTGCAGATTTATGTGAGAATTTCAGTGCATTTTTTCTATATTACGAAGCAAATTCCTGAAAATTTTTAAAAGAATAGGCACAAACGTTCTCTCGTAAAAAATAAAATTTCCCAGTTAAATTTGGCAGTAGCTGATGTGGCTCGGTTCCTTTCTGTTAAACGCGATCCAGTTATGAGATAGAGCCTAGCTTGCAGGGTATTAGAAACAGTTCTCTCCACGTGGGAAAACCGAACGCAAATTTTGCGAATCATCCAAAATATGAGCTAAATTCATACAATCATAAAGTTGATCAAAATCTTAGAAATTTTTCTTTTGCATTTTGTATTTTTTGCAGTGGCAAAGCATTGCTGATCTTAGTAATATCTATTTCCAAAGTCCATCTGTTAAACTTTACTCGAGATCCGTAATAATATTGTCCTTTTTATAATCCCACTTTAAAAGCTTCTGTAGATCTCAATTTAATGGAGCTTCCTCAAAACGAGCTGAACATAATTCATTAAAAACGACCCTTCGCTTAGCCAAATTTTGCAATAAGGAGCAAGTTTGTATAACTCATCCCTAAAAGCGCATCTGTCTGCGTATGGGAAGCAGCGGCACATACGCTGTTTCTAATTTGAGCTCAAAATAGTTGTCCCATATTGCAAAATGAAGTTTACACAGATGACACTTCTTCTGGCTAAACGTATACTTCTCATGTCAGAGGGGAGCCCTGAAGTTAAGAAGCGAGTACAAATACGGCTCTATTGCCGTGCTAAGGAAAAACGCCGTATGAGCCTTCAGACGTAGCCAACTTTCCTTTGACTAATCATACGAATTTTCGTTAGATTTTACAAATATTTTCCGTCCAATTTTATTGAGAATTTTGTTCCTAATTTCATCTTAAATAGCCGAAAAGTTCAAGGAAAATTATTGGAAACTTTCCTCAAAAATTCATTTTTTCCGCGAGGAAATTTGGCAACTCCCGATTGTTCATACGGCGTTCTTCCTCAGCACGGCAGTCTAGATCTTGATATTCGTTCCCAACGCCTGATTTCTTCCGGTTCAACACATTTAAATGATGCCAAAACGATAGTCTTAATCGAAGTATGGCGTGTGGCATTCGCGGAGGGTGAAGGCGCAACATACATGAACCGAAGCTCGTAGTTTCTTAATTGAATCAGCGGTGACTCCGAAATTTCGTTTGATGTAGTTGCGCGCCTTTATTTGCCCCGTCTTCCGTGCGAGGCTCCGCGGAAAAGGGAGAAGAAGGAAGAGAAAAGGGGAAAGGGGAAAGCGCCCGCGAAAAAATAAACAGATGGAAAAATCCCGGCAAGACGAGTCGTTAATTAGCGGTTTGTCTCCCGTCCTAATTAGCTGATTCGGCGGGTCGACCGCTGATGCCATGCCGCGTTGTCTTGAAAATTGGGACTGAAATTATCTTTCCGAGGTCAAAAGGGGCGCATTTGCGCTGAAAGGAACACTGTGTGTGCAAAGGTGTTGCCTCCAACTACGTGTTGCTCTTCCTACACGGCTTCCAGGTTGTAACGTCCATTTCTATAACAAATACATTTATGTATAGTTCACCGCTAGTTCAACGGTATTGTGTGAAGGTCAATCTTAGGGTCAGTCAATTTTATTTTGACTTCCTCATATTCTGTCCAATACTTCCTCCCTATTGAGACCCTTGAAGTATGACGTAAGCCATTTTGAATGACTTGCTGACCCCCCCCCCCCTTCCTCAACCTCTCTCTCTGGAATCCGACCGTAAATGAGCCGCTTCTAGCAGAAAGGAACCGAGTCGAATTAGCAATTGCCGAATATAACTGAGCAATTTAATTTTTTACAATGGAACGTTTATGCGGATCCCTTTGACAATTTTAAGGAATTTGCTGCGCACAATGCAGAAAATTCACTGAAATTTGCACAATAATCCGCACAACCGTTTTCATGTAAAAAATTAATTGCCCGATTAAAGTTGGCGGTAACTTATGTGGCTCGGCTCCTTTCTGATTAACGCAGTCCAAATGGATCCCTTATACGCTGGTTACACGCTCAAATTCCCATCAATTTCCGATCAAATGGTGACTGGTGCGCACCATCCACCATCAAATTTCTGCGGCCTGCAACGATTTTGATGGTAGATGATGGAACCGTGGGGCTCATCCTTCATCTGATTTCCACCCAACCGTGCTTATTTCATGCTTATTTCAATCAACACGCTGTTTTAACAAATTTTAAGCCCTGGATAGACGATCAAATTCCCGAACCGATTCCGATCAAAGTAGTATCAAAGTGTCGGGAGTCATCAGTCTTAAACTCATTAATTTGCTTCATTTTAAAATGAAAATTTGGCAGAAATGTTTCCTGTGGTGGGAAATGATGAATGGTGGCACTCCGTTCTGATCTTACTTTGAACAAAAAAGTGCGGCCCGTCAAAATTTGATGGTAGATGGTGACCACCAGTCGTTAGCATGTCTACTTTGATCGGAATTGGTTCGGAATTTGATCGTCTATCCAGGGCTTTACTCATCAATCTAGATAACTCTCGACCGCCATCTTGGTCATCGCCACTCTAGAACGCCAGAGTGCGTTATAAAGCGTGTGTGTATATATAAAGTTCCCTCCCTCTTAACATCCACCCTTTGTGTTCAGATAGTCCAATGGTAGTAACAGAAATTTTAAAACTCTTCAAGAAACTAAATTTAAAAATTTAAAATTGCCTAGTCCCCGACGTAAATAGCCTAGATGCTGATCGTCGCTAAATAAAATTAATTAATTAACTAACTATATATATATATATATATATGCGCTGGAAATTTGAGCGTGTAACCAGGCCATTATGTCATAACTTTCGGTATAAAGGGACTCTATAGTTGAGTGCGGGAGACTCGGCGACGCGGCAAGCCCGCCACCGGGTCGGAACTTGGGAGGAGTTGTGCCAATCAAAGCGGATCTCCGGGCTGAACTTTTGCCTGCTTTTTCTTGCCGGCGACGTGTGGTTTGGAGCAAGAAGTCTCGTGTTTCTCGGGGAGTTGGCCCTTCGCCGGGAGCATACGTGAGGCCTTCATTAGCCGACGTCAATAGCAGTCGCGAAAGCTCATCAGTGACGCTAACAGTTCCCTCCATATTTTAACCCCGCCGCCACCACCACCCCCCGCCCCCGTCGCCCGCCCAAAACACTTGTTTACGTTGCATTTTCTAGTCTCTTTGAGCCGAGTTTAGTATCTTCCCAAGTGCGCCGATGAAGCGCTCGGCCGAATAATTTCAACGAGAATCTCTGTACTGCCGTCCTTAGGAAAAACACCGTATGAGCCTTTAAACGTTGCCAAATTTCCTCCACTAAAAACCGAATTTACTGAAAAAGTTTGAATATTTTTTTCCGATATTTTCATAGATAATTTTGTTCCTTATTTTTTTTCATTATTTCATTTGTTCCTTTATTGGTCAATTTAAATACATTACATTATAAAAGAATATCAAACTACAAGTGACAAGGGTTAAAAATTTAAAATGGTGTGACCGTAATAAAGGAGAGAGAAAGAGAAGAGAACCGGAAACGCAATGAAAGCATACCATCGGCACTCCCCTCCCGTCATCCAGTAATTGGAGGACAAGGTAACAAAATGACAGGGGACAAGATGAAAAAGAAATTGGGGCAATGAACAGATTTAGGTGTGTTAGGTTAATCTAAAATCTATGGCAAATCTAGTGCCTTAAAAACTAAAGATTTAACACTAATCACTTCTTTAGCAAAACCCTATTGATTCCCCCTGTTCACCCCCCTGTCCCCTATTTGATCCAACATATCTGAAACTTTCACGGAAAAATATAGATAACTTTCCTGAGAAACGCATGTTTTATCCGGAGAAATTTGGCAACTCTCAAATGCTTATACGGCGTTTTTCCTTTGCACGGCAGCGTAGATCTTAGGTAAATGTAAAAGAAATTTTGCACATGGGGAGAAAAAAAGGTCGCAATTCGAGACATATTTAAGGTGATTCGTCATGGTTTCTGGCACGGTCAAACTAGCGTGTGATATATAGCATCAAATAAGTGAAAAATCTCGGCAGATTTGAAATTATTGGTCAAAAGAGAACAATGACCCCTGCGCAAGAGCATGAAGAAGTAATTTAACAGAAAATTTTGCAAAATTCAGAGAAATGAAAGCAGGGTCCTTCTCGGAGAAAAACTTCGCACTCGATATAGTAATCGCTTTCTGTATCGAATACTAGGTTTCTCCCCAAAAGATCCAGCTTTTATTTCAGAGACTTTTGCCAATTGTTTGGTTTAGAATGATTATTTAGGTTCATGCAGAGGTTATCGTTCTTTTTTTGGCTGAAAATTCAAAATCTGCCAAAATTTCTGTTTTAAGCGATGCAATACATAGCACGCCAGTTCGGCCACGAAAGAATCTGTGGCGAATTACCTTAAGGCGTAAATAAAGTCAAAAATAAAGACGCAAATAGAAAATGCTCACCTATAAATTTACATCATCATTCATCGGTTCAATCGGAGCATAAAATATAGAGCTATATAAATATGTATTTTCGAATCGATAAGTATTCGCACTCCAAGGTATATTTGTTGCCTATTCGGGAAAAGTGAAGGCGAACCTCAGATCTTTCTATTGATTCTACCAAAATTTATAGAGCTAGATGTAGATTTTATTTTGTTTAGGTAACTATTCGGGCTCCGCAGTAGGTGTGATTGCCTATGAAACAAACTTGAAGGCGAACTTCACATGGATTACGCTTGGTCTATTGATACTACCAAAGTTTATGGAGCGAGATTAAAGTTTGTTATTTGATTCACGCTAGGCAGTAGGCATGTTACCTAAGCGGCAGTATTGAAGGCGACTTCAGATGGACGATACCTACCAAAATTT